TCCAAGGGACTCTCAAGAGTCTTCTCCAACACCACAGTTCAAAAGCATCAATTTTTTGGCACTCAGCTTTCTTCACAGCATTTCCATCACTTCATGGCAAATAGAGGGGGAGACAATGGAAACAGTGACAGACTTTATTTTCTTGGGCTCCAAAATCACGGCAGATGGTGACTGCAGCCATGAAATTAAGAAGCTTGCTCCTTGGAAGAAAAGCTATGATCAACCTAGACAACATATTAAAAAGCAGAGACATTACTTTACCAACAAAGGTATGTCTAGTCAAAGCCATGGTTTTTCCAGTAATCATGTGTGGATGAGAGAATTGGACTATATAGAAACCTGAGCACCAAAGAACCGATGCTTTTGAATTATGGTGTTGGGGAAGACTCTTGAGAGTCCCTTGAACTACGAGGAGATCCAACCAGTCCATCCTAAAGGAAATCAGTCCTGAATATTCATTGGAAGGACTGATGCTGAAGCTGAAACTGCAATACTTTGGCCATCTGGTGAGAACTGACTCACTGGAGAAGACCCTGATGCTAGGAAAGATTGAAGGCAGGAGGAAAAGGGTACAACAGAGGATGAGATGGTTGGATGGCATCACCGACTCAATGGACATGAGTTTGAGAGGTCTCTGGGAGTTGGTGAAGGACAGGGAAGTCTAGCAAGCTGTAGTCCGTAGGGTTGCAAAGAGTCAGACGTGACTGAGCAGCTGAACAATAACAACATACCTACAATGGAATGTTATTTAGCCTTAAAAAGAATGGAAGTCTTTTTAAATTTATTTTTTATTGAAGCATAATTGATTTTCAATGTTAATTTCTGCTGCACAGCAAAGTGACTCAGTTATACACATATATACATTCTTCTTTTTTCTCTTTTTGGCAGCACTGCAGAGCTTGTAGGATCTCAGTTCCCAGACTAACGAGTGAATCTGGATCATGACAATGAAAGCCTGGAATCCTAACCACTAGACCACCAGGGAATTCCCTATACATTCTTCTTTATATTCATTTCCATTATGGTTTATCCTAGGATATGAATATAGTTCCTTGTGCAATACAGTAGGAACTTGTTGTTTATCCATTCTATATAAGAAAGGAAATTTTCACACATTCTGTAATATGGATGAACCTTGAAGTGGTGATGGTTGCACAACAATGTGAATGCACTTAATGCCACTGAACTTTATGCTTAAAAACGGTTAAAATGGTGAACTTTATGCTATGTATATCTTACCCCCTCCCCACACACATACATAGGCTTTTGGCTGGCCAAGATTTAAAGTAACTTTTAGGCCCTCCATGCTTGTACCAGCAGGAAGTGGCTGAACAGTCACCAAGGAGGTCATACTTCCCAAAGCCCATCTCCTGTGTGGCCATGAAGGATAAACAAGCCAGGAGCTGTGAGAACAGTGGAGAGCAACGGACAAAGGAGTCTTTCCAAGAGCAAGTCAGGGTTAATCAAGGAACTCTCCCCAGGCCCAGGGATGAGAGCTTTGACAAGTCTGACCATTAGCAGTTCAGAACTGCTTTGGAAGTGACAGCTTTACATCTTCCATTCTCTCCTTTTCTGACTAGGAGCTTACATTGAGCTTGCTTACAAGCTACAAGGTTACAAGATAGCTTGCTCTATCACTGTATATTTTCTTGTAGGGTATGGATAAAAAACTCCCAACAAAGGAGCAGATGGATCCACAAGAAAATTCCACCAAACTTTTTCTTATGGGTGTGTATACTTTTTTTTTTTTTTTTTTTTTGGCGTATAGCTGATTTTGGGCTTCCCAGATGGTTTAGTGGTAAGGAATCTGCCTGCCAAGCAGATGTGGGTTTGATCCCTGGATTGGGCAGATCCCCTGGAGAAGGAATTGGCAACCAACTCTAGCATTCTTGCCTGGGAAATCCCATGGACAGAGGAGCCTGGTGGGCTCCAGTCCATGGGCTCTCGATGAGTTGAACCAGACTTAGTGACTAAACAACAACATAGTTGATTCACAGCACAGTGTTAATGTCAGGTGTAGAGGAAACTGAATCAGTTACACATACATATATATATTTCACTCTTTTTAAGAATCTTTTCCCATGGATAACTTTTTTAGTTTTTTAGTTCATCACCACCTTAAGGAACCATATTAGAGCTGACTGAGTGACCTGGAGCTGAACAGAGCAACTAGAAGGGATTTGGGAGTATCTCCCTTGGGAGGGGTAACTGTTCTCTTTGTGGGAAGGGCAGAAACAGGCATTTGATTCAGAAACACAGACTGAGGCATACCGTGACACACAAATATCTGTGTTCCCTTTGTCCTAAACTCACAGCCAGACTTCACTTCCCACTAGGGTTGCCAATTTAGCGAATAAAAATACTGGATATCCAATTAAATTTGAATTTCAGATAAACAATGAACAACTTCTTACATGTCTCCTGCAATATTTGAAACTTAATTATACTGAAAAAATATATGTCATTTACCTGAAATTCAAATTTAACTGAGCATCCTGTATTTTATCTGGCAACTCTACTTCCCAACCTCCCCTAGGAGTTAGATGTGGCCATATGACCGAGTTCCAGTCAATGGAACGAGTGAAAGTAAGGTACAACTCTCCCAGCTCTGGCCCCTGAAAACCCCTCTGCAAGCAGAGGACTCTGAGCATCTATCTGAAGGATGGCAGGGTCATGAAATGGAAGAAGCCTGGGTCCCAAACGACCTGATGGAGCAGGCATCCCTCCCCAGATCTCTACTAGACTATGATGTGAGCAAGAAAAATCTTTTATTATTAAACCACTGAGTTTGGGGAGTTGTTTGTTACAGCAGTTAGCCTACCCTGATTAATATCCCTAATCCCTAAATTCAATATCTTTTCTCATCCTTTCCTTAACAGCATATGAACCTGGTAACCTTTTCTTTCTTCTTTTCTGGCCGTGCAGCACAGCACGTGGCATCTTGGTTCCCTGAACAGTGATCAAACAAGTCTTAACTGGACCCCCAGGGAAGTCCCCGTTTCTCTCTTCCTGAAACTCTTTCCACCTGATACTATTTGTTCCTGGTCTTTCAGTGACAATGACAATGACGATGATGACAGTAAAAATAGCCACCACTCATTAAGTTCTTCCTATGCGCTAGGTGCTATGCTAGTGCTTTATCAGATTCATAGTTGAAGCTTCATAACTGCCCTGTATGGTAAGCGATATCATCCCCATCTTAGAGACGTCCCATCCAGTATCGTGGCTGCTGTAATTATCATGTCAGTGTGGATGGCTCCGACTCCTGCCTCCAGTTCCACCTTTCCTGGCCTATGAATGTGCTGATGGCCAAAACTCAACATATCCGAAATGCGGCTATTCCTTTGTTAGTCCTTTTCATTTAATTTGCACAACAACCCTTTGAGATAGACAATGCTATTATTCATATCTATGAGGTAGATCGTATTATCCACGTTTTGCAGATGAGTAAACAGAGGCCTAGAGATTCAGTACCTCGCTCACCTTTACACAGCTAGTACATGGTGGAGCTGGACTTGGAGCTGATTTCAAGGCTAAGATCTCAACAATGACACACCTCAAGTTCCACTCAAACTAAGCTCTCCTTGTTCTGTTCCATTTCCTGCTTCTTATACTCATTCTCTGGCCTTGACTTTCAAATCCTACTGTCCTTCAAAGTCTATCCCTTGTGAAGTCTTTTCAAGTATTTCAAGCTGGGAGGGATCTCCATCTTGTGTGAATTTACAGTGCACTCACTCTGTAACATGGGGTCTTCCCTGGTGGCTCAGCAGTAAAGAATCTGCCTGCAATGCAGGAGACAGGGGTTCGATCCCTGGGTCAGGAAGATCCCCTGGAGAAAGAATGGTTACCCACTTCAATATTCTTGCCTGGAAAATCCCATGGACAGAGGAGCCTGTCATGTTACAGTCCATGGGGTCACAACAGTCAGGCATGACTTAGTGATTAAACCACCACCACCAACTCTGTACCACACTTACCTTTTCCTAAGGAAAATTCATCCTCATCATTAATAAGTTCAAGTATAGAAATACAGAGCAAGAAGTTTTAAGTGTCTCTTCATTCCCCAGAATTTATCAGTTTTTCCCTTAACAAGCCTGTGTTTCTGCTAGAAGCTCTATCAAACAGCTATTTGAGGACCAGAGGCATGCCAGTCTTCTTTATTCCCTTAGAATAGGCATTACTAAACAACTGCTCAAAGAATCAGTTTCAAATCCCATGAGCCTACACACACTACCGTTTTTTAGATGAAGGTGAGAGGGTCGGTTCAAGAACTGATTTTTTTTCCAGGGAGGCTGGTAAAGACATGTCAGACACTCCCTCTCCTCCCACCTTCATTAAAGAACAAAAAAGCATCTACTTCTAGGTACATGAAGGGTCTGGTTTCTGTTTTAGCTGGGTCTCAGAAGGAAATGACTTTCCTCTGAAATTGTAGACGCCCAACCCAGCTGCAGCATTGTTAGACCTCAGAGTAAACAGGAAGCTTCCTGCCTTGGGCCCTTCATGTCCCTCTCCCAGACTATTAAAGACTGTTAATAGGACAGTAAAAAGACAGCTGCTGGCCATAAAATCAGCCCATTCCTTAGAGAACAGCAACTAGATCCCTCCAAGGTCAGAGAAAATGGTGTCTGTCCCAGGTCACACCAGGTGTCCACCTAGCTGGGGTTCTCAGTTACCTCCTCTATGACCAACTGTAACTAGAATGGTCTTTGCAAAATACCAGAGTGATTTAATTCCTTGACATTAGTTGAGGAGAGGTTCCAATTTATAAGGGTTTCTGGTCCTTGAAATCATTTGTTTCTGGGGTGAGAAGATCCAGTGTGAAGGTTAAGCTGAGGCTGCCAGAGCAGTGAAATTACCCCCTAACCTGTGGAGTCTGAGTCACCTCTTCCAGTAGGGGAATAATCAGTCCTGATTACCGCCAAAAGAGGCAGCATGGTTCATCCATGAGGGCAAACAACCTAGTACTCCTACCTCTGCAATGGAAGAGCTGACTCAGGACCTCAACTCTTCTTGCACACAGTGTGGAAGGCCCCAGACTTGCAGCTGTTGCTGAGACAGGGAGCAGTTTCTGCCAACTGGAGGGACACTAGGGCAGGGGTGATCATCTTTTGCCAAGAAGGGCACTTGGGTGCCTTGGCAGAAGGCAGAGGGCTGTCCTGATCTGTGTGTACATTTTCAGAAGCACTTGATTCTGGACCAAATTCTCTCAGCTGTGCTAAAGCTGGGGCAATGGATGGGAAATGCTTATTGGCCAGGCTGACTAGAAGCTCCAACAGAGGGTGCTGGGGCTCAGCCAGGAGTCCCTTCAGCTGGCAAGTTGAGCTTTCAGTCATGGTCAGAGGGAGTATGTCATAATTCTAATTCTCAGGGCTCTCCAGAAGCTGCTTATCCATCTATTTTGAAGTTTCTGCTTGCTGGAATTTTTGGTTCAAATGGGGAATGAGTGGTGATGATGCAGAACCTCTGACCTGGCTCAAAGAATGAGAGCTCAGCAGGGGTCAAGGTTTTTAACTACAATTATACAGACAGGCCCATAACCAAACGGGTGCCAGAAGATACCATTTCATTCAACCCAGGACTTACCTACAATTTATCAATTCCTGCTGCTGTGATGGTTGGTTCCTCTGATCCTTGTCTACTAATAAAGCAAGCACAGGCACTCGGGAAGGGCAGGAAATCCAGTCACTGCTCACCAAGTTGAACATTTAGTTGCCTTGGGCAGGTTTACTAACACACGACAGGGAGCCTTAGTTGCCAAGTCAATGCAATGTCAGTGCTTTCCCTCATTCAAAGGAGAGGTCACCGAAGTTACTCCTCAAAGTTGCACCTGAGAAGAGGGAGTTTCTTCTACAGGCTGAAAACAAAAGAACTAGATATTTTTTCCACTAGGCTAATACAATTTCCTCTTAGTTTCAGAAGATGTAACTAAGGTTCGGGAAACTCTTCCAAGGTCCCTCAGCTGGTAAGTGGGTTTTTACTGAGAGGACCAGAATCTAGGCCTTCTGCCTTCTCATGAAATGTTCTTCTTACCATGACTTTTCCCCTCAAATAACTTGATGCAGAGCATGTGGCAGGGTCTCAACCCTTAATTTGTGTTATTATTTTTAAAATCTTTATTTTTCAAGTTATTTTTGGCTGCCCTGGGTCTTCGTTGCTATGTGTGGGCTTGCTCTAGTTGCAGCGAGCAGGGGCTACTCTGTGGCAGCGCACAGGCTTTTCACTGCGGTGGCCACTCAGGCTGCACTCGGCATTCAGGAGCCTCTGCGCGTGGGCTCCGCAGTTGTGGTTCACGGGCTCAGCTGACCCACGGCATGTGGGAATCTTTCTGGACCAGTGATCGAACCTGTGTCCCCCTACCTACACTGGCAGGCGAATTCTTAACCATTGCACCACCAGGGAAGTCTTGTATTAATTTTTTTGAATGATAATTTATGGGATTTCCCTGGCAGTCCAGTTTAGTACTTTCACTGCAGTAGCCTGGGTTTAGAAGAAGGCAATGGCACCCTGCTCCAGGACTCTCACCTGGAAAATCCCATGGACAGAGGAGCCTGGTAGGCTGCGGTCACTGGGGTCGCTAAGAGTCGGACACAACCGAGCGACTTCACTTTCACTTTTCACTTTCATGTACTGGAGAAGGAAATGGCAACCCACTCCAGTGTTCTTGCCTGGAGAATCCCAGGAACGGGGGAGCCTGGTGGGCTGCCGTCTATGGGGTCGCACGGAGTTGGACACGACTGAAGTGACTCAGCAGCAGCAGCAGCAGCAGCAGTAGTAGCAGCAGCCTGGGTTTAATCCCTGGTTGGGGAACTAAGGTCCTGCAAGCCAATATAGTAATAAAAATAAAAAGCTAGTTCATTAGATATAAACAAACGTTGCTTAATTTTCATTTCTTTGTAAGATTTTTCATATAAATAAGTGAACAAATCATGAAAAAACTCATCAGAAACAATGTCCCATTTAGAAAAGATGGTCCCATTTTACTTACTATTGCTGCTACACTGTTCAGGCCTCCATCATCACTGTGTGAACTATGACCAGCTTGTCAGCTAGAGCCTTTGATGAAATTTATATTTAGATTTACATGTGGGTAGGTGGTAAGTTTAAGACTATCTCTGCTAAGGTTGATTGACAACATAGATCTGGAATAAGATTTCTTCATTTATAGAGAAACCAGTTACTACTCTAAAATTTGCCACAGCAAATTTTATAGAGGCTTTCAGTTCTTCCATTCTTAACCAACATTCAGATAGAGAGGTTCTAATGGACAGAGTAAGGATACCAGGGAGCACAGGCAGCCCCAGTGTGTATTTGTACTTTCAGACCCTGGTTACGTCTGCTTTAGGCCTGTCCCCTAATTCTCCAGGTTATGTCCAAGGCAGCCAGTTGCAATGGAGGAGTAGTCCCAAGAGCCAGTAAGTCACGAAGTAGCCTAAAATGCATCGTGTGACCAGAGAACAAGTTTTCCAGTTGTACAAGAGTCCCATGATAGAGTTTCTGGGGACCTTTTGTCCTGGTGGGGGGTCCCCTGCAGGAGGCTTCCCAGGCACAGTCTCTAGGGATCTTAGCAGCGGTTCTTGATCCAGAAGCAAGTGAGCTGAAAACCAGTACACAATAGGGCTGGAGGAGCATAAAAACCTGGTGAGAACCTGGAATCACAAGAGGGGGAAAATCCACACATTTATTGGAATTTCACTGCCTCAGATGGGATAAGCCTGGGACTTCCCTGCTACTGGGTAAACTACAGCTCCCAGACTAGGAATTTATTATACTGGAAAAGATATTCATTCAGCAGAGCTTAGGATCTGCTTTATAAAGCTGTGTATAACACCAGCCAGGTGACTGCAATGTTACAAATAAACATAGCTACAGACTAATTACCACTATAATGGGCCAATCAATACTAAAAACTCCATGGGGTCCACTTTTAGCCCAGGACCAGGACTGTTACACCCCACTCCAGTACTCTTGCCTGGAAAATCCCATGGACAGAGGAGCCTGGTGGGCTGCAGTCCATGGGGTCGCTAAGAGTCGGACACGACTGAGTGACTTCACTTTCACTTTTCACTTTCACGCATTGGAGAAGGAAATGGCAACCCACTCCAGTGTTCTTGCCTGGAGAATCCCAGGGACAGGGGAGCCTGGTGGGCTGCCGTATATGGGGCTGCACAGAGTCGGACACGACTGAAGTGACTTAGCAGCAGCAGCAACAGAATTCTAAACTCTAGACTGGGGACCTCCCTGGTGGTCCAGTGGTTAAGACTCAGTGCTTCCAATGCAGGTAGCCTGGGTTCGATCCCTGGTCAGGGAACTAGATCTCACATGCCACAACTAAGTATCCTGAGTGCTGCAACTAACACCTGATACAACCAAATAAATAAATATATATTAAGCTCTGGGCTGCCCCTGAGGCTTTGGGAACCTGAAGCTGTTCTCTCATGCCCTGGGGATGGTAAAGCAGAAGGAAAGAGGCAGGGGATCCTATGGTTTAACATGGCCCCTCTGGGGCTGTCCAGAGCCAGGTCTCCAAATGGCCTCCCCCTTATCTCTGGAAACTCTAAGCTTTGCTGGCATTCACTCCAGTAGCTAATCTGGCTATAAACACAGAATGCTACTTTCTATTTCCCCTGTGCCTCTTATTCATATACCTTGGAGAACTTTAAAGACAGCCAATGTGCACCTCCAAGAGGCAGAAACTGCTGAGGAGTGGCCAGTATGGAGACCAAAAGATTTCCCCTGAGGCCACAACCAGGAACAAAAACAATCGGACGTACAGTCAAACCCTTCCCATCCCTCGACATCCTCACCACTGACTGAAAGACGTCCCTTCTGAAAACCGAGCCCCTGCCAGAGCTCAGAGTACCTCAGAAAGTCGGCATTCAAGGAGACATTCCAGGTACAGTTGTATGTTAGAGGAAGGTCCCAGAGACATTCTCTGTGCTCATCCCTATAACTCAGTCAGATCAGGTCCTTTTAGGACTCTCGTGTCTTCACCCATGCCCTTCCATCTGCCAGAGTGCTCATCCTCTGCTTCTTAAACGAAATTTCTTCTTACTCTTCAGGACCCAGCCTACATATGATGCCCTCCTCACCTCCTTGGACAGCTGCCTACTGTTTCCTCTGTGCTTCCACAATACTTTATCTCAAAAGGATCTCCTCTCCCATTCCACTATACTGTAGTTTTACCATTTACCTGTTAAATGTCTGCCTCTCCATTTTGACCACAAGACCCAGTAGGGCAGCAATCTTATCTTATTCATGCTCTATCCTCAGTGGTCTGACCCAGGGACTCACAATAAAAACACCCCCAAATAGTAGTTGAATGAACAAATTAGGTACAGGTCACTCAAATGGAAGAAGTTAGCTATCTTGCCTGTTCCTGACCAATGGGTTCGGCCTGTGTTCACACCTATTCCCAGCCAGGAGTCCACCTCACCTGAACATGCATGCACAGACTGCCAAACAGCAGCAGCGCTGCAGCGTGGACCAGGTACACAAACACCCGAGGACTGAGGAATCCAGGTTCAGGCTTCTCTGGGGTCTTTTTGTTCTTGCTCCTTTGCATCCCAAGTGTAAGGAAGAGCCAAGGGTGGGTGGTCGCGTATGTCCAAGTTGCCCAGGCAACCAATACAGCCATTGGTGAAGCCAGTAGAAAATTGGGCACCTGCTTGAGTTCATAGTATCTCAAAAAGCCGACATTCCAATAGACATCCTGGATGTAGCTGTATATTAGGGGAAGTTCCCAGGAGCACCAAGGCGGCTTGTTTCCCTCTGCAGTTCGGTAGCCCTGGTCTATAGCTAATTGCAGCAAGGGCTGAGGAATGGGGTAGGCTGAGCCTGGCAGACAGAACCGGGTATAGGCGTAATACTGAAAGAGGGCAAAGGGAAGGCCGAGTGTGAACACTGACAGGAACACAGAACCCATCAGCTTCAAGAGCTGTCTCAGAGCATTCTGCACCATGAGAGATGAGAAAAAGTCTTGGCACTGAGAATGTACGAGGAAGCCAATGTTGACTAGCCCATTGGAGCGTACACCAGTGGCAAGGGCAAAAAAGAGTCCACTAGTCCAGCTTTGGCCCCTTTCCAGCTGCCCCATGGCGCTGAATGTCAGGAGAGCAAATAAGGCTTCTGAGTAACCAGCAGTCAGGAAGACATTGGCGGGGCTGAGGCAGAAGAGCAGTGCTCCATAAAAGGCCTGGCGGGGACAGTGCAAAACCAAACAGCCCAGGTCGTGAAGTGCAAGTGCAGCCAGCGCGGAAAACAAGGAATTGAGCAGTGCTACTGAGATGAGCAGGCAACTCCGTAGGTTCAGTAACCCCCACAGGGGTCTCATCAATTCAGTTCCCACCAACAGGACCAGGGGGAAACCAGGGAAGAAGGCAAAGTTGTGCTCATACAGGTAGCCATGCTCAGCAATGAACAGGAAGTGTTCAGCATCCCAGTGAGATAGGCCACCCAGAAGACCTTCCACAAGTTGGTCCACAGAGCCAGAGGGGGCGAGCCGAGGAGGAGAGAAGGCTTCTGCACGATGGTCTGGGATGATGGCATTGAAGAGAGCCTGTGGGATGAAGAAGAACTAGTACTTTGGTTCAGCAAGTGGAAGAACTACCATTTAATAAAATGAGGAAGAAAAGACACGTTGGGGAAGAATCACAAGTTCAGTCTGAATTGGATGTTCCAGTGCATAGGTCAATGAGGCAGTGAGATGTACGAATCTTGAGGGTGAGGAGAACCCTCAGGCGTGGAAATATAAATTCGGAAGTCGTAAGTACATGGATAGTAATAAAAGGTGTGAGACTGAATGAGATTACCCAGGGAAGAAGTGCAGATATAGAAAAGAAGAGCTCTGAGGACTGGGTCCTAGACATGCCAACATTTAGAGGCCCAAAGAGAGTGAGGATCCAGCAATAATGGTAAAGAAGGAAGGGTCAGTGAGGTTGGGAGCAAATAGGAGAGCACAGTGTCATAGAACCAAGTGAAGCAAAGGAGCGATCGGCTCTGTTAAATGTGGTTGACAGGTCAAGTTAGATGGGAACTGAAACTGACCACTGGATTTAGCAATACAGTGAAGGTCACCAGTGACTATGACGAGAGCTATTTCACTGAAGTGGAGGAGAGAGAAGACTGCCTAGACTGGGTTCAACAGAGAAAGGGAGAAGGGAAACAGTCGATATAGACAACTATTTGGAGGATTTTTGCTGTAAAGGGGAGCAGAGATGGGGTAGTAAGTGAATGACATTGTGGGGTCAAGAGAAATCTTTTTTTTTTAAGTGAGAGATATTTGTTTGCCAGTGGGAATAATCCAGCAGAACAGAAACCACTGTGTACGTGAATAAGAAAGTGAAGAATTGATGGAGCAAGCAAAAGGGGATGGAATCTGCTATGGAAGTGGAGTAGCTGACCTTAGTTTAGAGAAGACAGACAGTTCACCCCGCCTTCAGCAGTGAAGGCGCAGAGGTGCAGATGTAGGTTTGAGGATGGCTGTGGAGGAAATATTCAGAAGATTGCTTCTTATTGTTTCTATTTTCCTGAATTTTCATTCAGGAAAACAAGCTAGGGAAAAGGTGCTGGAGACTGAAGGAAGAAAAATGTGTAAAGTAAGTAATTTCTGACCCTAGCTCTCAAAATAGCCTGTGCACTGGATTTTCAAATACAAGATGCCTGGGTTTCTCCTCTGCTCCACAACATTAATGATTTAACCAGTATGGAGTACAACCTGGGCATTCAGGTTGTTTTTAGCTCTCCCAGGTGATTCTGATAGGCAGAAAAATTTAGAGAATAGGTGAGTGACTGGACCAGGGAAATACACTAAGATTGCCAGGCAGCACTAAGGACTCACTTGGATTAATGGTATTGAATAAAAAGAGACTAGTTAATACAGTTGTATGCTTCTCTCTGAGCAGATGCCAGCGCAGAGTACACATGGAACCGAATTTAATGAAGGTTGGGCTTTTGTCTTGTGATTAAGACAGGAAGAAGGGAGCGAGTGAGTTGTACATGTATGCATGGTGGATCATGGACTCTAAGCTGGGTAAGAAAGGGAGCTGAAGCCACGAGGTGAGTGAGGGACAGGGAAACAGAGCTAGAATCAATGGATAAGCCCTGAGGGAGTGAACTGGAAAGACAGTAGATAGTCGTTAGATGTATCAGCTCTATTAATATTGAAACCACCAAGAAATATACAGTAATGCTAGAAAGAGCAACAGTGAATCAGGAGCTAAAACCTTCAAGGAATGAGAAAGAATGAGCTGTCACTAGCAGAGATGACAGCAACAATGAGGGGTAACTGGGGATATAACCTGATGGCAGGAGTTTTAAAGCTGCCAGTGGGGAAGGGGAGGACAATGAAATAGCATTATTATATGCTTTTTTCCCCATTAGATTGTCAGCTACTTAAGAGAAAACAGATTGTGACTTTTTGTACTCCCACCTAGCAGTTCTTTGAACAGACAGAGCAGGGACTTAATAAAATTTGGTGGCTGAGTGAACAGCACAGAGGAAACATGCTTGTTTCCAAATCACCACCTGAATTAGAACCCCCGCTTCCTGGGACCCTATCCCAGGTGTCATCCGGTCTCAGGACTGCTTCCTTAGTTCTGCCAATCACTCGGCTGATGCTGGTTCAAAGCCATCATCAAGTCAATTTTCCCAAGCCTGGCCACAGGAGTACAACCTCATTTTTAAGGCTCTTTCTTTTTTTGGTCAATTTTTTTACTAGGCCACTTTGAACAGTGAAAACAAGTGGGACAGGACTGACAGTCACAGGGTACAGTCCTAGGCTCCAAGCTGAAGACCGTTTTAACTAAACCTGGGACCTAACAGAGCCTGTTATGCCACATATAGTTGGGGAGGAGAGCGGAAAGGAGTTTTCCACAAAGGAACCAGCTATGAGCCTCAGAGAGAACGTGCTTGTGATGAAAGGCACACAGAATATGTTGACAGAACATCCCTAGGCTACTGACATACATTCAATAATAATAGCTACTGTGGACCTACAAGCAGTGGGTACTGTGCGAGGCACCATATATAGTTCATATATACCTGAAATCGGATTAAAGTATGTATCAAGGGCAGCCGCGGAAGGGAAAGGGAGTTGCAAAATGCACCGGAGGTTGTGTGTGGGTGAGACAGGAAGGGGACACAGCTAGGGGAAGAGGAGAGGACACTGATGACTAAACAGATAAACACAGATGGTCTCAGGACAGTGCCCCCTCTCTTGCACTCAACTGACTGATATCGTGCTCAGCCTCCTGGTTGGGGACCCAGGGTAACGCTTTGAGCTGTCATACCCTAAAGGCATCAGGTTACCAAATATCATGGTCTGGTGTAAAGATCACTAGCCCAGGGGTAAGGAAACCTGGGGTATGATTCTGGGCCTTTTCGAACTTGTCTTGTGACTTTAAGGACGCCACTGAACCTTTTTGGGCCTCAGCCATTTCATCTGTAAAATAAGAAATTAATAGATCATTTCTAACAGTGCTGTCCACTTTTCAGCTATGTGGTCTAGGTCTCTATAGTTCTAATCACGTGGAGGGGCACATCTGGGAAACCGAAAGATGAGGCCTATTCTTAGCATCTAGCTCAGTCATGTGGCAATGGCATGTTCAGGACGAAAGATCAGAGACTGACCTGCAGCACCAGAGTCAGGACACGGCAGCTGACTGCAAACCCCAGGACCTCTTTCCGGGATGGGTCCAGGGGCCACATCCTCTCACCACCAGGAACTCAGGGGGGCTGCTGCCAGGGCTGAGCTCCCTCAGGCTTCTAAACGCCAAAACCCAAGGAGGAAATGTCACACATGGGCAGAAAGTAAATTCTTGAAAGCATTCTTCATAGAAACACCCTCCGGCTTCAGCATTACTATGGCAAACTTAACCACCTAACCTCCTAGATGAAGAAAAAGCATCTTAAAGGCAGATGGGACTGCCTCTCATCACTCTGAAGCATTATATTCTTGTAGGGGAAGTTCCACACCTCCCCTAGGCAGGAAGCTGGAAAGCTAAGCTCACAGAAAAACTTTAAAAGTCTGTTGAGAGCCCCTGTGCGGGAACTAAAGGCCTGGATTCAAGTCCTGACTTTCTCATTCACAAGTTTTTATTTTGTTCTTCTCAGCCTCAGTTCTCCAGGTGTAAGCGAGATTGGACTCTTTTTGTCTGTCTCATGAAATTGTCATGATGGTGACATGGACTGAAGTGTGAAAAAAGTACTACCAAATCTACATTGCAGTTGCTATTATTTGGTGTGTGCCCTTTCCCTCTCGCCCAGAATAATAAACTAGGTCCCAAACCAGAGTCCCAAAAGTGGGGCATAGAACTGAACTGGAAGACCATAATGACTACACACTCGAGTTAAGCTCTCTGATGTGTGTTCAGTTGGTCTGTTAAATTAAGTGGAGAAGGAAAAGAAAACCACCACTCAGCAGGACTTCAGCCAGCTAAACAAACTGAGAGGGACGACAAAGTCGACTACTACAGATGAAGAAACTGTTGTTTCCCATCTCTTCACTGGAATGGCAGCAATGTATAAACAACTGCAAAGCCATTCTGAGGGAAGGAATGCACTTTACAGCTTTCTTTTTTTTTTTTTTTAAAACACAACTCCTTGGGTTCACAGAAGTAGCAATGGCTCTTACAGAACCAGTTAGAAATCAGAAGGGAGGGCAGAAGCATCAGAGGCAGCTCATCAACTTGGGGTGATGAACTAACCCTAAAGGAAAAATATTGTATTTAAACTGAGAAATTAAGAGGGAGGGCTGGATTTTCCTTTCTTAACACCAATCAAACCTTTAAGTATCACTTATTTCTGGAATTCTGTGAACCTCACTAGACTATGTGATATGCTCTCATTACCCTCTCTTTTGTCGTCTTTATAGCTATTGCTTATTTAAGTTGTTTATGAGAGCAGGGGCTTGTCTATCTTGTTCCCAACTATCCTTCCAGGGCCTAGCATTACACAAAGGCACATTAAACCTGTGTTCTGATTTACTGGAAGTGGCAGGAACTGGATACAGCCTCACCAGTTCACTGGCTCTGGATATAAAATCTCTGCTCCAAGTACTCCTCCCACCATATCTCACGTTGAGAGCAAAACGACAGTCACAGAAGCCACAGGAAAATACAATTTCTCCAGAAGCAACAGTTCTCTTTCTTCAGCACAAGGGGGCGCCTGTTGATTACTCCATCACCAGGAGGCCTGGAGGAAGGGAGGGGCCACCAACGCCACACCGGTTTGCTCATCAAAATTCAGTTCAAAGGCAAGCTTTCGAAAGCCCCAGAGAACAGCGGTAGTTTGTGAATCTACCCAACATTGCCAATATCTGACTCGCTGAATCGAGAGGAATCGTAGAAACAAGAACAGCCAACCTTACACGGCCGCTGGTTCTTTATCCTAGGATGAATTCACTTTTTACCTTCCTTCACTTCCCACCCACATGCAGAAGAGTCGGGAAGAGAAAAGCACATAACCCACCTCTGCCTCTTCACCAGGCTTCCATTCTTCGTCTCTCCAGACTCAAATGCTAGACCCAGCGACCACAGAAGACGTGTAGCCTACACTTAGTTTGCAGGCAAACAAAGTGAAAACGAGAATAAAGCCAGTGAGCTCTCCTCAGCTAATCGCGGCCCTCACTTCCCAACAACCCCTTTACGAAAGCAGACTCTGAACTGGCAGGACACTTACAGAGCAACTAGTTTTACTCTCTTTTCCCTTGAGATAAATATGCCCCAGGGAAGTGAGTAATAAAAACTCTCCAGAGTTTTTACACCAGAGAGCTCATTAGACCCTGTGTAATTACCATCGCCATTTTACAGATGTGGAAACTGAGGCTCACTAGGGTCAAGTGGCACACCCAAGGATATATTTAAGGAGAACGTCTTTTTTTTTTTTTTTTTTTTCTGTCTGAAACATCAGTCTTTCCACCAGCCCTGACTCCTGCCAAAGCGGATGCGCTCTTTCAGAGCCAAGATCTCCCAACTCCAAGCTCAGTACTTGTCAGATGACAGAGCATGCTCTTGTATGCTTAGGGCAGGGAGGGTCCCATCTGAGCAGACAGGAAAACCTGTTGAATCGAAGCCCTGGACCCTCTGGGTAAGACTAACATCCTCAGGGGCGAGGGGTGTTGTTCGGACCCAGGGTCCCCGGGACCAGAGGCCTTGCTGGCCGCCAGTTTCAGCGGCCGCCTTCTGCCCGCCCACCCGGGTCCAAAGCCCGTTCCAGCCGTTTCCTTTTCGACAAGAGTCCCAAGCAGAGAATGGGCATCTCCTCTCCCCAAAGGGCCAAGGCTCAGGGGTTACTCTGGAGGGGGCCGGCTACGCCCGGCCGGGCCTACGACCGGAAGGCAGGGGAGGGGGGAGGCTGTGAAGGAAGAGGCGGCACTGGGAGGCCGCTATGGCGGAGGGGGCGGGGCTCCTCGCTTCTCGGCGGCATCCGCCTCATTTCCCTCGGCCTCCGTTTGACGACTTCCCTCCCCCCACTCAAAACTCCTAGGCTCCGAAGCTGGCGCCGGGTCCCCAGCGCCGGCGGGTCTCAACCTCCCAGGCGGGGCCCGAACCTTAGCTCCTCCATCCGGGGCTCCGAGCGGACGCGCCTGCGCACTGGCTCCGCGGGTGGCGGCCCCGCCCCTCTCCGGCCGGGAGTCGGAGCTGCCCCGCCCCCCTCCGCAGCGGCCATGTTGATTCCGGGAGAGCGGGGCGGGGACGGCTTAGCCCCGAGACTCAGCGCCCCACTGCCTTGGCCCCTGCCAGCCTTGGTGACACCTGAGGAGTCCCCGCTCCGCTAGCCCCTTCCCCCCGCCTTCAGTTAGTCCTCCAGGGCTGCTGTCTCAGCGTCGGTGCTCTTGGAAGAGTTCGAACCACCCCTCAAACATCCATAAGTTCCCTTGAGGGCCGAGGCCCTCGGAGTTGGGGGCTGCCCTCCGGCCCCTTCACGGAAGCCAGAGCCGCGTTTTCCCTGCTGTCAGGCAAGAGCAGCTCAGCACAGGGCCTGGCACACAATAGCTGTAGTTTGAGTAGAAAGAAAAGCCTTCTTGGGGTTTCTGTGGCCAGCAGCGGCACCCCGCGTCTTGGGTGTGAAGAAAGTGGGGCTTCCCCCGGACTTTCCCCTCCGGCTACTAGGGACCTTCTGTCCTGCTTCAGTCTGGTGGCTAATGAGGGTGATGAAGGAAACTTAAGAGAACGCCCCCCACGACTCCTTTCTCCTTCACTGAAGCCGTTTCTCTTGTTGGAAGTGGGGCCAAAAAAGAAGAAAAAAGAAGCTAACTCAACAAAACCGTCTGTTAGGGAGGAGCGGCCAGTTGGTACCCCTGTAACGGAAACTGTTAGAATAACTTTGCACCCTCCTTAAAGGAAATAGATAATAAATCCTTCTCCGTTGGTGGATTTCTCGTTTCTCAGGATTCCAGAGCCCTTTGTGGTTTCAGTTATCTGCCCTCCAAACGAAGCTAGGGTCTGCGTTAACCTCTGGCCACAGCCCTGGCTGAGGGAGGGGTTTATCTTCCGCTACAGCTACTCCTGTGGGTGGGAACAAAAGAGGTGGTTGCTATCTCTCCAGGCAAAGACAGGCAGCCCACAGCAGTTCTGTGGGGGCCAGGGACTGTATCTTTGGATTCTTTATAGCTCATTTCAGGCCCTGAGACCTAAATTGCCCTCAGATATTTGTTGTGTGTAAGGTGGATCCGTCATGTTTTAGTCGTGGAGTGTTGGAGAAGGAAAAATGGGGCTTAGAACCCTAGGTTTCTCATTGACACACCCTTGTTCTCGGCCCCAGAGGCATGTGAGTGAGTCGGCAAAGCTGTGGGTTACACTCGTGACTGGGGTCTAAGGTTGTGGCTTGAATCTGTAGAAGTCTTTGAGGCTCCAAGCAGTACTGTGTCTGTAAGGGGAAAACCGAGAAATGAACTAGCCTGCCTTTGTGAATTCACAAGGGGAAAAGACATGCATTCTTAAGATTCCCTCTGTTCACACACCAAATTCTCTCAAAAATCTACTTGTGAAAAAGGACAGGCGTCTATTGTGACAATTCAGAATGTTTTTTTTAAAAGCTCAACTGTCACCCTTTAGAGGTAGAACTTTGTCCAGATCTTCAGCTCTACTTTCTTGCAATTTCTCCTTCCTTTCCTTCTCTACTACCCACCCCCCTCCTCTTCCGCTCTGTTTCCTGTTTCATTTTCTGGCTCCTGCTCCGACTGGAAAACAAGGAGGCTGAATCTTGTGCTCACAAAGCTCTGGCTTGTCAGAATGGAGGAACACTAGGTGGGATGGGAGGGGTTCTGGGCCTCCAGGGCTGTGAGTAAGTAGTGGAGGAGGCAGCTCTCTCTAGTCTGCTTTTAGAGTCTGCTGCTAAAATGGAGCCTGCATCCACATAGGGAGCCAGCTGAGTGGCCAGCACTGTGGGAAAGCCAGGAAGACTGAGACTTACCCCAGGGCTCCCAAAAGATTCTACACCACTCAGCCACTTCCCTAAAGAAGTAAATATGCCACACCACCAAGAAACGATTTCATAATACAAATCTCTGACTAAATTAAACAATGTAAGCAGTGCACCACTGTTTCTAGAATCCTAGAATGTGAGAAAGTTACAGCATTTCTCTTTCTTGAACTTGCCTGGCTCTGCTCTTGCTGTTTCCCCTGCTTGAAATGCTTCACTGCTGACTGACTACCCTTTGGCCAATCTACTTCAGGTCTCAGCTGAAATGCCACCTCCTTGGAGCT